CAGGGTCTCACTACATAGATTGGACTTGTAGCGATTCTCCTGTTTTCAGCCTCCCAGGCGCTGGGATGACAGGTGTGTGCCATCACGCCCAGTCTCAATCACCATCTCTGCGTGCCCCAAGAGCAGGGCTGGCTTGGCATGCTGGGGATCAAACCTGGGCTGTTGCGCTTTGCCTAAGCAGGCGCTTTGGTCCTCTGAGCTCTCTGGCCAGCTCAGCATAGATACTTCTGTTCATTATAAATTACCCACTCTGAGATATTCTGTTACAGTAGCAGAAAATGGCCCAAGACAGTGGTAGATATGATCTTTAGTTCTCTGTGCATGTTGCCTTATCTTCAAAATAAATAATATGTCAAGAGCTGTTGACCAGGGAGGATTACTTATAATGTGTGATAGAATCGGAGTCTGCAGTAGGCTTGATCATGTACTTGGAGAGGCCATGAAAACAATAGCAAGATTCTCCATTTGCTCACAGATGGAGCTAGACTTTAAATTCAGGCACGTCTTGCCTTTTAGTTTGATGTGCTTACTGTGTACCTGGCCATTTACACAGATCAACTCATTTAATCTGAATTCGGCCATCCTACGAGGCAGACACTTTCATTTTATAAATAAGACAGTTGAAGTGGAGGGAAATCACATATCCTGTCTTAGGTCATACAGGTTGAACCAAAGCAGGCGTGGCTCCAACTGGTTGTATGACCCTGTAGGGGTCGGGGCACATTTGCGACCCACGGCTGCCCGCTGAGCATGGCACGCTGGCACTGTCAAACACGGTCTTGGTGGACGTACTGGGAACTTCTCAGTGTCTCCTTTGGAAATCTCATTCCCACTTTCCCTCCTTTTATATGTGGGGAAAACAGGCTCTGTGGTTTTGTTTGTCTTCCAAAAGACAAAGCCAGGACTTTGTGCTCTCTGAAAATACAGAGGTGTTTTTTTCCTCTTTATTGTTTTGTTTTTTGCCAAATGTAGAAATATGTTAAGAAGTAGGTTTTGGCTTATAGCAGAATCAACTTGCTAAGCTGTGTGAGAACAGAACAAGTCATTGCAGCAGCTGTGGGACTCACCAGGCTGGATGTGTCGAGCAGAGGCTGAACAGGTACCTGACAGGTTGTTGCTGAGGGGTTTAGTTACCATGTATGGAGGTGGGCTAAACAGTTTAAATTCTTTGTACATGGAATTGCTTGCTTTGGCTATTACTAATTATTATTATTTAGAAATGGTCTCGCTGTGTAGTACACCCTTGCCTTAATCTCACTATGTGGCTCAGGCTGACTTTGAGCTTGTAGCAACCGTCCCATCTCGGCCTCCCAAGTACTGGGATTTCAGGCAAGCGCCTCCACGCCCAGTTTACATGAAGGTTTTAGGCTTAGTTTGTGCACCTAATCTTGTACTTTCTTGCTGATGTGAGAAAATGACCTTACATTAGATAGGCCTGCGAAAGAGAACGAAGAGTCTTCTGATGTGATGCCTGCCCGTTTGAGTGAGTGCATAAGCCAAGAGAGAGAGGCCTGAACCTAGGCCTCCCAGTTCCCCTTCCAGTGTGCTTTATGTAACAAAGGTCAGTTGTTCCTAGCAGGTGGTGTAGCACTCAGTGTTAGGGTTCATATCTAGGTGTCCCCCCCAAAGCCTCATGCAGTCATGGGGCTGCTTCTGGAGTCTGATTCTTAATCCAAAAATGGGATTATGGGTGAGTGCCCTGGGGCAGATACTCTGCATGACAAGGGGAGGAGGGGAGAGAGGCCGCTCCTTTTGTTCTTTCTCGCTCTTTGCTGCTGCCATGAACTGCTGCTCTTTGCCTTGTACCCCTCTGCTTTGGATGCCTTGGAGCCAGCTGAGTATGGACTGCAACCTCCACTAACTGTGAGCTAAATACACATTTCCTTCCTTCATTTTTGGCATCGAGTATTTGTCCCAGCAAAGAGAGAAGACTGAGACACCCAGCTAGCTGTCAGAGCACCAGAGGCCTTCCCCGTCCGCCCCTCACACAGCAGCCAGTAGGTCCTTTGGATTTTGCTTTTCCTTAAATGTCCCTGGAAGCAATCCTCACTTCCTCACTTCCGGATGCAGCCACCGCTTCTCAGGATGGCATTGGCTTCTTTCCTTGTCTCGGTCTTGCTTGAGTCAGCACAACTCTTGGTAGGGGATTCTAGGAATTCAAAAGAGCCTGGGAATTCAGGGTGAACATCAGAGTACCATGGCGTGCCTACAGAAGCAAGCCCTGAGACTCCTCTTTATGCACTGGCTTTTACACGGAGCTAAAAAAAAGCTTGTCTTAGGAGCCATTCAGGTTAGAGGAAAGAGGGCAGATTGAGGGTTGTGCTGCCTACAGATTGAATCAGGATTTTGATCAGTCGGGCCAGAGTATGTAGCTCAGTGGCACACTGCCTGCCTGATAGCACAAGGCCCTGAGTTCAGTTTCTGGTACAACAAAAAGAGGATTTTAATGATTAGTACATAGACTGAGTATATTGTCATATTGAAAAAATGACTTCATTCCAGGTTTTACATATTTCTAGTACTGACAAGATTTTGAAGGGGCCTGCAGAGATAGCTCAATGGTATGGTGACCTAGGCAAGTGCAAGGACCTGGGTTCGATCCCCAGTATCACATGGATGTTAGAACAGTTTTCTTCAATGCAAGACAGCAGCCGTCACACCCACACTCATTGACTTAGCACCCTCGGAGCTGGCTCACCTTGTACTTGACCCCCAAAAGGGAGAGCAGAGAAAGCAGCAGGGAAAGTAGTCTATAGAGAAAGTCTGAACTTCATCAGGTAGCCTTCCTGGCCCAATAGGGGCCTCTCTGAGCTCAGAGAACAGATGCAGAAAGGTCCTGTCATCTGGCAGATGTAATAAGAGCCTCAGGTCCTATGCTGCCTGGCAGGTCTGCGAGACACTCACTCCTAGGGCTTCAGGAGCCAGAGGGGCACAGCTGAAAGTGCCCATAGCTCAGTGGAGTCCGAGAGTACTTGCCCCGTTCTCATTCTCTTGGTTCATTTCTTCTTGCCAAGCCACATGTAACTTGCTCGGCAGTCTGGATGGACTCCTAGTCGGACCATGTGGCCCGCTAGGGGAGCTGCCGTGCGCAGGGCTGAGGTAGAGCACTTCTCGTTAATTATGGATTGCTGGACAGCATCTTTGGTAAGCCTCTAGTTAAAGTTGCTGCCAGGTCAAGTTTTCTTCTGTAAGTTAGTGGGTCCTTAGCCTAAGTGTCACCTCCTGGGCGATGTCCTAATTTTCTTTCCATCCTAGTGAGATAAATTAATGTGTGTGTGTGTTAGAGAGACAGACAGACAGACAGACAGACATTACAGGATCTTGTAACTGTTCTAATATTAACACTATCATTATTGTCTTGCACGTAACTCCTGAAGTCAGTACTGTAACTTTACCAGTCAGGGTCTGGTAACAACTGGTTATATGAAGTTAGTAATAATGTTCAGTAACTGCCCTGGAAAGAGAATTGCTAAATGAGGTAGTTTCTTTGGGCTCCAAAGTTCTCTGTCTTCATGAAATAGTAAGTTGCTATGTTAGCAACCATAAAATGAAACTAGTCAGTTTACACAGAAGTTCCATTAAAGGGAAGTAACGACAGCAGTGGAGTCCTTCCTGCAGGCCAGGCAGTGAGCCGAGGCTCAGTGGATGACTGCGTTTACTGCCTATGGAGATGCCAGGCACAAATGTTTTCCCTGAGAGATGAGAACTAGAAACTCAGAGACATCAAATAAATGCCCAACTGGTGAGTAGCAGAAATGTAGGTCAAAATAAAGGCTATTCAGCACCACAGTCCATGCCTGTAGATTTTGCTTTTCTTTTCTTTTTTTTTTTTGGTACTAGGGAATCACACTCAGGACCTTGCACTTGCCAGGAACGTGCTTATGCCACTGAGCTAAATCCCTAGTTTTGTTTGACAGGGTCTTTATACTTTTGGCTGGCCTTGAAGTCAGTGTAGCCCAGCCTGGCCTTGAAGTGGTGATCCTCCTGCTTCAGCCTGGAGCCCTGGGGTTACAGGCGTGGGCCATTTGCACAGTGCATGGCCTTTAAAGGAGAAAAATACCTGAAATAGGTGGTGCTGCTGATTTTAGTTCTAGTCTGTTCTAAGGTTTTACGAAGTACACTTGAGTATTTAGTAAAACAGACTGGGCCAGTAGGGACCTTACAGAGCACACTTTACCACTACTGCCACTTTATCCAGGGTTCTGTTCTAACCACGTTATCTGAAATAGTCTTATGATAATAGGCTTCTTATTCCACTTTGTTTTTCATAATTTATTTTAAATATTGTGTTTATTTTCTCCACTAGAAAGTAAACTACGGGGCCGGGGTGATGGCTCAGTGGAATAAGCACTTCCCTGGCAAGCGCAAGGGCCTGAGTTCAATCCCCGGTTCCGCAAAAAAAAAAAAGAAAGTAAATTACATGAAAAGGCTTTTTGTCAGTGGCAGGGTTTCCAGAGCTTATCACAGTGCCTGACATATAAAGTGCTTAAGAAATATGACTTGGGTTGATGGCTAAACATTCTAAAGCAACAAGTGAGGGCTGGCCAGATAGCTCAGTGCACTACAGCACCTGCTTAGGCAGACTCAGGGACTGGGGTTTGATCCCAGCCTGCCATGCTGGTCCCGCCCCCAGGGCACGCTGAGCCGAGGAATGAGACTGGGCATGGTAGTGCAGGCCTGCAATCCCAGTGCTTAAGAGGCTGAAAACAGGAGGATCACTATGAGTCAGATCTGTGTAGTGAGACCCTGCACTAAATATATAAGAAAAAAGCACCAAGTGGTTGTAATGTGTTGAAAATTTTTACTTCCACCACATAGCTGAACCTAACACTGCATTACTCAAATTCAGTAAACACAGCTTGTCATTTTGATATTCAGCAACCTCAAGGACAGGGACTAGCTTAGCTGTCCATGTATTTAAGTTGCCTGCACAGGAATTGGCTGGTGTTCAGAAGTGCGCAGAAGGCTCACGAGAAACTAGGAAGAGAAACAGTCCCAGGCATCATGCTTAGTGGTTTATTCTCCAATCATGGCTCCATCAGCAAGTGGAGTGGAAGACGCCACCCACCCTGACCCCACGTGTCACCAAGGTGTTGTATTCCTTCACTGCCTGCTCTGTCTGGAGGACTCGCACGTCGTCAACACCTTGTTTCCTGAGGTACTCCACAGTGGACGGAGGCACCTGGGGAGGAAGGAGAGTGTAAGCAGGGCAAGGTGCCGGAGCTTGCTTTCCTGCCATGGGGAATTAGGACAGTGACACGTGTCTCCCCTCAGTCACCCGAGTCTCACTAGCCCAGAATGTGGCGGTGTGCCTCAGTAAATGGGAGGCCTCAGGGCCAGCGGTGGAGTTCAGGGGTAGGTATGTGTGCGCTCTGGATGGAGGCCCTGAGTTTAATCCCTAGCACCACAAAAGTTGCTTGTGAAATAAAAATGAGAAGAGCATGGCTCTTGCATTCTGGAACTTAGATCCTTACTAGCAGTGCGACCTTGGGTAAGTGCATTAGATTCTTAGGCCCTTCCTTCCACAGCTCTAAATTCGGGAGACTAACAGCTAGTTCCCAGCACTGGAGTAAGAACATGCTAAGGGAAGGTGTGAAAACATCTAGCACACTGTAGAACCCAAACTATGTATGTCATAAAAGTCTTGAGTTGAGTTTAAATTTCACCTTTGCCACTTTCAACCAAAAGCTTAGTTACTGAAAGTGTCTTGGTCCTAATTTCCTCATGTGTAGAGATAAAAACCCTCCCATCACAGCTGGTGTGGGGATGGCACTGACTTATGTACTGCGGCGCAGAAAGGCCGTGCTCAACCACCTGTGAAAAGCCCACAGAAATCACTTTTGGTTGGCAGTATGTATTCTGGGAAACTGTCTAGTTTTTTATTATCTATGAATGGGTGATACTTGTGTGCCTTATCTCACTGTCCTTAGAGCCAATAATAGTGTCTGACCTGTAGAAAATGCCTAATATGTATTTGTAAGTTAATATAGAAGATATTCTCACGATTGGTAGCAGTTATTGGATGATATAATCTGCTCTGGCTTGTTCTGAAATTTTTTTTTTAATATTTATTTATTTATTTATTTATTTATTTATTTATTTAGTGTGTGTGGCCAGTTCAGCCCACCAGGGGGCGGGGCTGGCTGGCATGTGGTGCTGGGGGATTGAACCGTGGTCCCTGTGCTTTGCTTAGCTTAGCTTGTTCTAAGTAGGTGCTTTAGACCACTGAGCCATCTCACCAGCCCCTTGTTCTGAATTTTTTATAAAGTTAGATTGTGCTGACTCAGAAAGGGGTGAGTAGCCAGGGGAGATGGCTCAGTGGAATAAGCACTTCCCTGGCAAATGCAAGGGCCTGAGTTCAATCCCCAGTTCCGCAAAAAAAAAAAAAAAAAAAGGTGAATAAAATATTTTACTATGCCACTTAATACTTTTCCATACATACAAAAATTTGTGAAAGAAGCCTTATGCATAGAAATTACTGTAATGGGAAAGACTAGTTTAAATTTAAAAATTAAATTAATAAAAGTCCCTTTCATTGGTATGCAAGAGGACTGATTACAGCAAGAGGTGGCTCTCCCATACTGACCCAGAGGGCTACCCATAACCTCTTGGGAAGGAGGTTACAGGGCCACAGTTACAGTGTGATCTTCTCCATGTATGGTTGTCAAATGCAGATCTGGACAGAGAGCACTGGAGAGGTATGTACTGTATGTAGACTGGCCTTTTAAAATTGACACTGGGCATGAAATCTTTGATTCATCGTGTTTGCAGCAGGATGGATACATCTGTGGGCGGGTGGCACAGGGACCAGCTGCTGAAGTCTTTCACATACCTTTGCTCTCTGCTTTCCCAACATCCCTTAGTCCCCTCCATTTCTGCAAAATCTTGAATTAATTTTTACTTTAGTTTTTAGATAGGGCCTTGCTGTTCAATGCCGCTAGCCTTGAACCTGCTTGCGTAGCCCCAGCTGGCTCACAGCAGTCCTCCGGCCTCAGCCCCCCAAGCGCCTGGATTGCAGGCCAGTATTCGTATGTTTGCAGCGCGTGGTGTTCGCTTGCCTTGTGTGCGGCTGCTGCACGCACACAGCCTCCTTTACGCCATCCTTCATCCCTCTCCCTTCCATCTCCTGATCCTCCTCCCCACTGAGAACAACCCATCTCCCTGCTGTTATTACCTATATTTATTTTCTCCTTATAATTTGGGACTGTCGTGCTATTTACTTCGTTTAGTAGGGTCCCAAAGTGTATCCTTTTCCTACAAATAGTTCAAGCTTCATTTCATGGCACAGTAGCACTCAATTGTGTATATATAGCATTTTTTTTTAAATCCATTCATGGGTTGAAGGGTAGCTTCCAAGATTTAGCTGTTAAGAACTGTGCTGCTATAAACATGGGCCTGTATGTGGCCCTCTAATATGATGTCCTTAACTCTCTGGGATAGTATTTAGGAGGGAATAACTGGGTCAAATGGAATAGGTATTACTTAAGTGAAATACAAAAATCAGTTTTTCCTGAAATAGGTAAAAAGCATAACCTGAATGTGTCCAAGAAGAAAAGTATTATAAAATGTGAAGCAGTACTAAAACGTGAAGGGTCAAACACTGGATGTTGTCAGTGACTGCACGTAAGGGATTTCTCACAGCATCTCAGGGTAAGTGCGTGCTGTGGGGGTGCAGAGACAGTGACAGAATCACCTAAGAACACAGTGCTAGGATGTCTCTGTGGTCAGCAACATATGACTGTATTGGTGCTCGTCGAACTCGACAGCTTCGGGGTTGTACTTCTGAGAAACAGCTAAACAGTCTCAGCCATGTGACCGTGATGACATCTAAGGAGGACGTGTCTATAGAGGGAAAGGTCCAAGAGACTGCTGCTGTTGTCAGGAATGCTGTGCACACCAGCACCTACCTTCAAGGCCTCGTTCATCCCGCGGCCAATCACAAGGGTCTGCACACCCTTCTCCACAACCTCCTTAACATCTGCAGGCTGCACACCAGGAGAATGCTGGAGGTGAAATAAGAAAGCAGAAAGGTGCTAAGCCTGTGCAACAGGCATTCCCGCCTGTGTTCTGGGGATGGAACCCAGGGCCTCAGTGCATGCTGGGAAGTGCTCTACCACTGGAGGTGGAGGTGGATCCCCTGCCCTTGTATATTTTGAGCGGGTCTTGCTAAACTGCGCCAGTTGGCCTAGAATTCAGTCCTCCTGCCCAGCTTCTGAGCAGCTGGGATTGCACAGGTGCACTGCAGTGCCTGGCTGCACTCATACAGGGCTGAGTGATTCATTCCCTTGTTCACCGAAGAAGCGTGTCCTGAGGCTGACTTTGTGCCAAGCATCTGAGTCCTGACAATGAAAGAGAAGACAGCGCTTCCTTACAGAGCTCCAAGTCTAGAGAAAAAAGACTAAAAGGAAATTTCTGTAATTGTACAAGTGGTACAGGAAATACGTTCAGAGTAGTATGAAAATATATATAGGGGCTGGTGAGATGGCTCAGTGGTCTAAGGCACCTACTTAGAACAAGCTAAGCTAAGCAAAACACAGAGACCGCGGTTCAATCCCCCAGCACCACATGCCAGCCAGCCCCGCCCCCTGGTGGGCTGAGCTGGCCACACACACACTAAATAAATAAATAAATATTAAAAAAAAAAAGAAAGAAAATATATATAAAGTGGGTGTGGTGGTGCACGGCTATAATACTAGCACTTGGGAGGCTGAGGCAGGAGGATCGCTGCAAGTCTGATGCTGGCCTGGACTACATAGTGAAGTCAAGGCCAGCCTGGACAATGTAGCAGGGCCCTGTCTCAAAAAATAGAACAGAACAGAAACACACCCAAGAATACAGAGAAGGAACATCTAATTCATACGTGGGAGGTCAGGCCAGGTGGTCAGGGAAGGAGACATTTAACATGAGAGACTCCGGAGACAAGCAGGATAGCCGAGCTTAGGGAAATCAGGGAAGCAAGGCTTTCCACACACACGGAATAACAAACATGAAGGCTGAGGAGAGAGAAAAAGCCTCGTGAACTATAGGTAGTTTAGCACAATTCAACGGTAGATGGTCAGAGGTGCAATGAAAATAGGGCTTTTGTGGACTGTGCCAAAATTGAGACCTTAAAAATGTTAGCACCGGAGAGGCAGGACAGGTATGAAACTCTGCCACAATCTCTACACTTTTCCTTTTCCACTGAAGTACAGGTCATTGTTTTTGTCCTTTTGAGACAGGGTCTCCCTATGCAGTTCAGGCTGGCTTTGAGCTCACTTTAGCCCAGGCTGGTCTCAAACTCACAACGATCCTCCTGCCTCAGCCTCCTGAGTGCTGGGATTGCAGCCTTGTGCCACCACACCTGGCTCAGGTCATTGGTTTTTATCCCGTGGTGGACCTGTCTGTACTTAAATCTAATGCCCAGAGGAGGGGCTTTCTTTATCCACACATACTCGTGTAGAAGAGAGCTAAAGGCTGAGAGAAGAGACAAGGGAATATTGAAAAACTAACTGATAAACCAAAAGGCAGAACCAAGTAATACGGAAGGAAGCCAGGCACATAGGCAGATGCCTGTCATCTCAGCTCTCCAGGAAATGGGAGTCGGATCACCTAAGCACACATTCCCAGCCTGCCTGGGTAACGTGGATGCTGTCTTAAAAATGGAAAGCAAACTATACTAAAAGAAAGTAGAAGATAATAATGATGAATAGAAAATACAATATAGGAAATCAAGACAACCTTAAGTTTGTTCATTGAATAGAAAATTGAATAGTCCTATATTAGTTAGAAACTGGATCTATAATTAAAACCTTTATAGGGAGAAAAATGGTCTAGGCACAAATGATTTCTCTGGTTAAGTTCTTAATTTTTTTTTTTTTTTTTACTAGGAACCTAAATCTGCACCTTGTGCTTGCCAGGTAGGTACTTGTGCCACTGAACTTTATCCCTGGCCCAAGTTCTTAAATACTTAATGAAAATGTCCAGCAAAATAATAGCAAATCCAAAGTTGGTTCAGCGCTCAAATCATTAAGCAGCTATGTGTGGCTGTGTGTATCTGTAATCCTAGAGTTGTGGGAGGTTGGGGAGGAGCCAAATTCAAGCCCAGCTCGGGCAACTCAGCTACTTGGGGCCTGTCTCAACATGGAAGAAGGGCTGCAGGTGGAGTGTGGAGGCCCTGGGCTCAACTCCCTGTATTGAGCCCCCTCCCCAGGTTGTTCATTACAGAATAAAGAAACGGGGGGGGGGGGACTGCTCATGCAAACACAACCAGGCACAGGACACCATGGTTGGATCCTCACCTCCACCTGCCTTAGCAGACCTGCCCTTAAGGCAGCTTGAACCAGCGCCCCCCCCAAAAAAAATATATATATCCTATAAAGAAAAGTGGGCCAGGTGTAGCGCAGAGGTGCGCCGAGCAGGCTGAAGTCCAGGCACCCCTAAAGGAAGAAAACCTGTGATTGTCTCAAATGATGGAGCAAAAGCACTGACAAAGCTCACCACCACCTGATGGCCTCTATAAACTCCCAGCAAACTGGACAGGTGCCTTTGGCCCTGGGGTGCAGACCCTGTAGAAAAACCTAAAGCTAAACATGGACTGTAGTATTGAAATACTACCAGTTTGCCCCAAATATTGATCCTAGTGGGTATTAGGTAGATACTCCATCATTTCGTTAACCTGGGCATTCTTCCCTGCTCACTCCCATCAGCCCTTTCAGACTGTCCCATACAAAACTACTTGAGCCCTCATTCTCCAAAGTGGCGCCAGAATGATCCTTTTGAAGCACAGATCTGCTCATCCACCCTCTGCTGAACAGCATCAAACAGCTTCTCTGTCCCCTTTTAGGAGACTCCTTAATATGGCCTCTTCAGGCCACAGCCGCAGGTCCTATGCCTTCCTCTGGCTCTGTGCTCCAGCCAAAATGGTCTCAAGTTCTACCAAGCACAGACTTCCTGAGCACTGCAGAGGTCAGCGTGTGAATTGCACAAAATGCCTGTATACCCAGTATCTAACAAAGGATTCAGAATATACAAAGATCGCTTAAGCAACAGTAACATCCAGTGACAGATTGCCGGAACACTGTATTATTAAGCAGATGTACTGATGGCCAGTACACACACAGACTGGCAGGTCACTACGGAGATATATACTAACAGCAGTGAGACCGCAAATGCTGGAGAGGCTATCGGGCAGCTCTCACCTCATGCACTGCCAGTGGGAATGCAAAGCACAAAGCTACGCTGGAAGAGTTTGGCAGCTTCTCGCCAAGTTAAACATATACTTATGCAACTCAGCAGTCACACCTCTTGGGTATTTAGCCTAGAGAAATGAAAACTCGAGCTCACACAAAAACTTGTATGCGAATGTTCGTAACAGCTTTATTTCTGGTAGCCTAAGTTTCATTTGTAGCAGCCAAAAGTAAACAACTGAAATGTTCATTAACTGGCAAGTAGACCCACTGTACAATTCAAAATAATGGCATATTACTCATCAATTTAAAAAAAATGGCATACATGGCAACATGGATGAATTTAGAGTTCCATGTGAAATAAGCCCAGAAAGACTACATACCATATTACTTCATTAGTAGGACAAATTTTAGTAAGATGTTTATATCAGCAGTATCAATCATGATTTTGATCATTGTATTATTACATAACAAAATGCCCTTGTTTTCTTAGGAGAACAGGTATTTAAGAGGAAAGGGAGGGCTGGTGAGATGGCTCAGTGGTCTAAAGCACCTACTTAGAAAAAGCTTAGCAAAGCACAGGGACCACGGTTCAATCCCCCAGCACCACATGCCAGCCAGCCCCACCCCCTGGTGGGCTGAGTTGGCCACACACACACACACACACACACACACACACACAATATAAATAAATAAAATAAAATAAAAAAAAAGAGGAAAGGGAGTCTAAGCCCATAGTGGTGGTGTACACCTGTAACCCCAGCACTCGAAGGCTGAGGCAGGAGGATGCCGGTGGTGTACACCTGTAACCCCAGCATTCGAAGGCTGAGGCAGGAGGATGCCAAGAGGTGAGGCCAGTCTAAACCCCAAGACCCTGTCTCAACAACAGAACACAGGGGTATAGCAGCTTCAACATAAAATATGACAATGTTAACCTTTGGGTTTGAGAGAAAGACACATCAGAATTTGCTGATTCTTGTAACTCTACACATCTAAAATTGTTTGAAAGTGACACGTAGGTGTTTTCAAGGGTATAGTAGTGGGCTGGTGAGACGGCTCAGTGGTCTAAAGCACCTACTTAGAACAAGCTTAGCAAAGCACAGGGACCGCGGTTCAATCCCCCAGCACCACATGCTAGCCAGCCCCGCCCCCTGGTGGGCTGAGCTGGCCCCCCCCCACACAAATAAAAAATGAGAAATATGGACTTTAAAAAAAAAAAAAAGTATAGTAGTGCTGGGGACCCAGCTCCGTGACACAGCACCTGCCTGGCAAGCGTGCAGTCCTGAATTCAATGCCTGGTACCAAAAAAAAAAAAAAAAAAAGTGTAGATTAGCAGGAAAAGCCCTAGACAGACACATAACATGCCTGTTTGTTCTGCTGATTTCACCAACGCCCCAGAGCTGCCCAGAAGCCACCAGGCGCTGTATGCTGGAAGCTGCGCACACCTCCCTAAGCTTCCCCGCAGGTAGCAAACTACACTGCATTCACTTCAGGTCCACAGCTGCATAGAGCCACAGTGCTGTCATTTCTCCCTTCTAGATCCGGGCTTACACAAGGATGGCTGGGTGTGCTCTCATCCAAGGGCCATCAGTGCTGCAGCCTGCTTAGCAGAGCACCAGGCCAGGGGCAGCCCAGGAGCAGCCTCCTCCTGTCTCCGGGCACAGCCAGGCCCAGGCGCCTGAGGATTCCGCTTTCCCTGTCCATCAAAAGATTGGAGGAGATTAAGGGAACTGAGATTGTTTTTTGTTTTAAGTTGAGAAGGATTTTTTTTTGGCTAGCTCAGGCTGCCTGAAGGGCTGGGCTGATACGGCAGGTGGAGCTGGGAATCGAACCCCGGT